GTACACGCGCGAATAAGCGCTTAAAATAATTTTTGCAATTTTTGAGGGGCGCTTATTCAAACGGGGCGCTTAACTTAATTCGAACGGGGCGCTTATCAAAACAGAGTGGAAATTGAGGGGGCGCTAATGGAAACAGATGAAAATCGAGGGGTTCTCATGAGAACTTATTAAGTTCAAGAGGCACATTTTGAATGAAAAACGAAGGACATCAGGAAACCGCAAATTACGAATGGTGGTACGTGCGTGCGGCGGAAAAGATAATCGTCCAGAGAGCATGGCTTAATTGTCATGACAAGAATGTTGTGAGTACAGTATTATTACATAACAGTAGAATAACAGATGAAATTAGTGGTGGTGGTTAGCTAATTGTTGGCCATCGGCCGAGCCAACATCCACAGTCCAGGATTGATTAAATTGTATTCAAATTAGAAGGGGGCGCTTAAAGAAATTTTCACGTTAGGGCGCTTATTCGAGAGGAGCGCTTATTCAAACGGCGCGCTTATTCGCGCGAGTACGGTACGTAGACCTACGTATTACTAATACGTACGTACGTTACTATACGTAGGCCTTTGTACGTGATAGTAAAACGTACGTACGTAAAAGTAATCAGTGGTGTATCTAGGGGATGCGAGTGAGGGGGCGCACGCCCTCCAAGAATTAACCCCCCACTTCCAGTAGCCCCTAAAAAAATCGCTTGCAAGTAGTTAAAAATCACCTTATTTTACGAGTTAGCGCCTCACAACTGAACATCGATCCCCTCACTTCACCTTCAAGGGCACCCACCCATATCAGTACCCCCATTTTAAGACTTCTAGATACACTACTGATAGTAATACGTACAAACGTGGTATTATTGCGCACGTACGTGTAATAGTTGATAGTAAGTAGCCGTGTGGCGTAGCCGTGTGAGAATGGGTCCCAATGCAAGATTGATTGCTGGGCCCTTGATGTGAAACGTCAACCGAGAGGATCGTAGGCCTGAGCAGGGGGTGGCGCATGATTTGCCCGGGGGGGGGGCGAGGTCCCCGACTGAGGGCCGGTGCCCTGACGGGGGTCAGATTTCCCCGACGAAAGCGAAGTGAGCGTGGTCGAGCTTCGATTAAAAGGTTTCGATACAAATACAAATTCCGGAGACTTCTATAGATTGCCGTTCAGTGCTCATACCGCTTTTTCCGTCTACTTGAAAATGAACGGGCAAAAAAGTATCAAAAAACCAGAAAGGTTAGGCAGGGGATGACCATTAATCCCCGGTTTTCCATTTATGAATAATTATTGGGCTATTATTATCACATGATGAGCTATCATCAGTAGGCTTATTTGTCAATACGGTCAATTGATTCCATCCAACAAAAAACAGCTACTCTAATAGTAATAGTGACAGTAACAGTATTTAGATTTTATTACTGTTTTTGTGCTCATTAATGTCTTTCATTATTGTGCTTAGCATTCTTCTAATTTTTAATAATTTTTATGTTTATGTTTTTATTAACATTCCAAAGCTCTATAATGTGGGTAATTAATTAGGAATTATATATTAATATACTTGAGTGACCTAAATACTCAAACTGCTCCCTTAAAACATCAGCCCCATTCTCTCACTTGAAAATCCTGCCAATGCAGATTTATACTCTCCGTCAGATCTTATAAATGGGTAGGGTCGCTTATTGGGCAGGCAATCTCAAAACCAGCATAAATTACGACCAAAGCAAGGAAACTGAATTTTTATCATGGTTAGGTACTTTAAGGATACGACACCTCATGTACATAAATAGCACTTTACAGGGGTGGATCCAGAGATCGAAAAGGGGTGGGGTGGAAAGTAGGGCCGATCGAGAAGACAACTACACTACCCTTGGGGGTCCGTATTATTATCACGTACGTACGTATTATTATCACGTACGTACGTACTAATCACGTCGTACGTAATATTATCACGTACGTATTAATATCACCTACTTACGTATTATTATCACGTACGTACGTATTATTATTCTAGGAGTATCAAAAAATACTATACGCCTCTTACTGCAAATTTTGGATCGCGATGAAGTAAGACAGCGACGTCACGTCGACGGAGACTCCAAAGGAGGTTATCGTGGTGTTGGGCCAAACTTTACCTGGCACCTAGATTCATACGACAAACTTAAGCCATATGGTGTTTGCATTAATGGGTGCATAGACGGATTTTCAAGAAAATGATATGGTTGCAAGCCCACCATACAAGTAGTGATCCACAAATTGCAAGATACTTTATAAAAGCTGTCTTAACTGAATAAGGATGCTCGCGTGGTATGCGTGCCGACAGTGGAACCGAAAATGGGATAGTGAGAGACCTGCAAACATTTTTGAGACGGAATCACATTGATGATTTAGCAGACCATAAGAGTTTTGTATATGGACAGAGCATTGCGAACCAACGCATTGAAGCATGGTGGAACATCCTTAGAAGAGAATGTGTGCAGTTTTGTATGAATACATTTTCAGAACTAAAGGACAATGAAAAATTTAGTTAAAATTGATATGATGTAAAACTGATTTGTCTAAGACATAAAAGGATGTTTGACGAATATTTAAAAATCGGGGGAAGGGTGTAAACCACTCTTCCCCATGCAGGTTTTAAATATTAATATTAATATTGTATTTGTTTGTGTATTAGAAAAAAAAAGTTGTACAACATATACTAATCTTTTTCCCTCGGAGCTTATTGCCCTAAATTTTGCACTCGGTGACAACCCACATATGCTAGTAATAAGTATCGGAAATATACCGCATAGGCCTAGATACTTCAGAAATATTTTATACCAGTATTCATTTTTATTAAAAACCAATTAAACTGTTTAATTTTCAAAAGTAAAATTATTAATTATCAATACATTATTAAGTAGTATCTTTATATAAATAGCTTTATGTAATTGTTTAGACAAATAGAAAATTCTCTGCTTTGCAAAATAAACAAAACAAAACAAAGCATAACTGACTTTTCATAATATTTTAGTGTCTTGCATAAAATTAATTTAGTACCAGTGGAAAGTCCAATAATCTATACCATCAAGTTACAACGCTGATCAACTGAGTCCTAACTCGACACAAAGGGAGAGAATAACTGCATGGCTGTCTCAAGAGTATCAACGAAAACCAGTTCAATTCAATTCAATTTCTTTACTCCACAAATAAACACATATTTAAATTTCATTTTTTTTCTGTCTACTGTACGCAGTCTCTGTAATGTATATATATAAATGTATATTTATATATGTATATATATATATATATATG